AAAAAAAAAAAAAAAAAAAAAAAAAAAAAAAAAAAAAAAAAAAAAAAAAAAAAAAAAAAAAAAAAAAAAATAATCTCCAAAGAGATCAAAGATTTCTCCATTCATTTCTCGACATGGAAGAGTTTGAAATGGTATTCTAGTTATACAGGGTAATAATGAAGAGGATTTTAATGCAAGAAAAGTATTGCTGTGTTGATGATATTTAAACTTTTTCATGATAAATTTATGTCTAAATAAAAGTGGATATAACGGATGGTAAAATAATTTAGATTAAGGGAAAAATTCAAGCTTTTCTTTGAAATTCCCTGATTTTTACAGTATAAAAAAATTCCCTGATAATTCCATGTTTTCAAGGTTTTCCAGGTGGGTGACCACCCTGTTTTCACACTTTACAAGCTGTCATAGCATTAAAAAAAAATAATTTACATACATGAATTCCACGTCAATAACTGAGAAAAAAAAAGATTGGAGATAATAGCACATGAAAAGATATGATTGAATCACATAAATCAGAAGCATAAAAAAAATGGTTAATTAAACGTACGTTTCGAGATACATAATATTGTATTAAAAATATTGAGATTTTAAAATTTGTACAGAAATCAATAGTGATAACAGCAAAAAAAATTAAATAAATAAATAAATTGATTGATTAAAAAGAATGATAGAATTAATGCGTAAAATAGTGAATGCTTTTAAATATATTCAAAATGGAAGGGATCATTCTATTTTTTATATTAATAATTACTTTACACAATAATGAAAATTTTTTTATTCAACATTATTAATTTAACCATTATCTAAAGAGGCTGTCATGTGCGTTTTTTAGATTTAAATAAAAGTTATTTTTAAAAGCTTATTCTACAAAACTAAAATCGCTATTATTGATAATATGGAGTTTATAAAGATATGTAAAGAATTAAGCAAACTAAGAAAACTTTAATAAATTCATATAACGAATGTAAATTAGTGAATGGCCTCAAATAAATTTTTAATAAAACTTGTTACTTGATTCAGTATTTCTTTAATGAAATGCTTACAAAAAAATTAAAAATTTTACTATGTAAATACGATGAGAATTGAAGCTAAATATTTTTGTCAGAAGTAAATTATTATACGGTCCCTACGTTCATAATATAGAACAAATCTGAGATAACTGCATTTTTTTTAAATTGTTCTTAAATGAAATTATTAAGAGTTGGCACCATACAAGTTGGCAAGTATGTTAGTCTATCTTGATCTATGAGAGGCCATTACTCTCCACCTATAATTTCTGCTGCTCAGACACTTCTTCACATTATCTATATCTTGAAAGTGGCCTGCCTTTCTTTTTCTTGCTGATAAGTTACTTTTTAATGGGTTTTCATTATCATAGATATAATCAAGTCATCTCATCTTTTGTATTTTAATAAATTTCACTATATTTGGTTCCCTGAATTTGCTGTATATCTCAAAGTTGTATCGTACTCTGCACACATTATTCATATTTACTGCATCAAAAATTCTTCTCAAGATCTTTCGCTCATATTTATAAACTGTCCAGCACTCATTTACAACTATTGGCCTTATTAAGGTCTTACCATCCTCTTGATCCAAAATTGCATCGATTAGCTATATTTATTCCTTAATTTCAGTTTTAAGGTCATTATTTCGCTTATCCCTTCCCCCCCTTCTCAGAACTTGAACCTTTTATGCATTTTTTAAGCTAATATAAAACATATACAACTATTGGTCTTACTAAGGTCTTATACATTGTTACATTTGTGTCTCCCAACACAAGTATTTTGATTTAAACCATCCTCTTGATCCAAAATTGCATCAATTAACTATATTTATTCTTTAATTTCGGTTTTAAGGTTATTATTTTGCTTATTTTTTCCCAAAGTATTTAATCTGATTGACTTTTTCAAAAACATATACTTCTATATGTGTTGAATCCAGTATTTTGCTTGTTACTGCCATGAATTTAATCTTTTCCTTAATGACAGTAAAGTGAAGATTTTTAGCCGCAGTCCCAAAAGCTTTAATCAAAGCTTTCTTAGTTCACCATACAATATCAACAGCAAATGCAAAAATAAAAATTTTGAGTCAAAATTTACAGATTATGTCACACATAATCACTTAATTTCTCATCACTTGAACCTTTCAGCAATTTTTGCAATAACTATTTTCACAAATTCACAAAAGGACCCTGGTTGAAAGAATGTGACTTAACTCTTATTTTATATTCACAAATTATGAATAGTTTTTTTCTCGCAATTTTACAAAAACAGGACCATTCACAAAATGTCTGGACAGACCCCTGATATAATTTACAAAAGACCGGGCCTTAGACATGTTTTATCCTACCTGCCGGCAATGACTTTATAAATATATAAATTATATAAGCTTTTTGCTTTTAAAATACAAGCTTTGAAAACCTCATTTTATCCCAAGGGGCCCAAATTTATTTTAGATCTAGAAGTGAGCTTAAATAACAAATTTGTTGTGCATATAAATAAAATAGCAAAATACATATACAGTGAAACCTCTGTTAAGCGGTTCATGGGACCAAAAAATTTGTCCGTTAATGAGAGTTGTCCGTTTACAGGAAGGGTGCCCTAATAACGAAATTTAACACCGTAAATTGTTTTTAGAATATTCTCAAAGGTGTAGAAATAATTAAATAATATCTACAAGGATACTGTAAATATCTACAAGAATATTTATTTAAACAATAAGAAAGATAAAAAAGAATATATAAAGAAGTTTGATATAAATACATAATTCTGGATGTAGCTACAGATAAATAAATATAATTTTCCTATTAGCATAGATACTCAAGTTAGACATATGATACCAAATAGGAGCGTACTGTCCTCAGTCCGTTTCAATTATTAGGTTCACATCCCCTTACACCTACTTATCATTTGATAGGGAACATGGTTAATACCTTCTTGGAAAATAAACCTCCCATGATTCACAGAAAAAAAAGTAATGCATACCTGTAAGTCATGAGGACCTATGGAGATGATTATTCACAATTGATCAGCTATCAAGTGTCTGAATAAATGTTTCATTTATATAAACACCTCAAAGATTATACTTCTGTTCTCTTTTTTTTACCCCAGTTGTGTTAAATACAGTCTTCAAATTGATAAGAAAATTAAAGAAATTTTCAATGGGGAAGAAGCATTGAGAGAAGTCATTTCAACTTGAGGGGTCTCATAACCTGTGTGGTCCAGATGAAAAGATCAAAAGATGCCGATGTCAGAATTATTTCAGGAGTGCAGTACCATTTTCTCTCCTTTCTTTACAAAGATAAGGCAAGGTGACAGGAGAAAGATTGATTTTTCGGTGGTGAAATAGCTTAACAATATTTTTAGTTATGGATAAGGCAAAAAAATTTATTTACATGCTTTAAAAATGGTGAAAAGTTTCATTTTTTTAGCTTGCAATTTATTTAGAACAAGTAGTGCCCGGTTTGTAGAGATAAAAAACAACATTTCAGGACCAAAATGACTCTCCGCGTCCGGTTACGGGAGTGTCCGCTTTGCGGAGAATGTACGTAATGGTTTATTCATAGAAGAATCCCGGGAAATTAAAAATATGTCCGTATTGAGAGGCGTCCGTTTTGCTGCAGTGTCCATAACAGGAGGTTTCACTGTATATAAATATCAGTTTTACACAACAGAACTGTCCAAAAACAGACAGCACAATTAATATACATTAAAACTATACAATTAATGTCATTTAAAATAAACTATATAAAAGAAAATACTTACATTTATCAGAATATGCAATCTTTACTATGGGATATGGTCCATCATTTTGTTCAAGGGGTGTTATGTCTTTCCATTCTTCTCGATCACGGTAAAATAACCATTCTGCATCATCAGACATCCTTCCTTTATAAAATTGAAGAAGAATATTGAAATAGTCAGGAATAAATATATGCAAAATTATAATATAAAGAGGCGTAACTTTTTGATAATTGTAATTTAACCCCTTGACGAATCATTAGACACAAAAATAATGTGTTTAGAAATACTATTTATTTATCGGTTGTTATGGCATTTAAATGTAGCTTTAACTCAAATGTAGCTGTAGATTAAACCAAGAATCACAATTGATAAACTACCACTTTAAAATATTTATATGCTGTCTGGAGCAAGTTGGCATCTCAGTGTTGAAGATGTCTGAGACACGTCAATTATTATTTTGACATAAGACACAAATGACGTCTCCCAGACTTCTTCATATGTAAAGGAATTAAAGGATCATATAATTATATTTTCTTCCCATTGAAATTTGTAAATTTTAATTAAAAATTTGTGAAACTGTTTAATACAAATCAATAAAAAATAAATACTTCAAATTAATCAAAAACTATACACATTAACACAAATATTTTTTTTTTCGTAGTATAATATAATTTAAATTATGAACTTCTCTAGATAACTACGAAACATTTCTTTTTTCCATAATCTCTTTTTTTTCAGAATATTTTTTAAACTTGTTAGTTAATACAACATTTATTTACAATAAAATCAGCCACAAAAAATGAAGATAAATTTTAATAACTTATGCTTAAAAAATATTATACTTTTCCTATACACATTCACTAAAAAAGAAAATTCAAAATACAATAAACAAAAGACTCATATTTAAAATAAAAAATCTGTAATATATAGGTTCAAAATATAGTTGTAGTTTATTTTATGTATTTTTATGCATGCTAAAACTCTGATTAACCTTTCCAATTAAGTTTTTTATATCACACATTAGTACAAAGAAGAAAAAAAATAATTAAAAAAAATCTGAACACCCTAAATAACTTTTGATGTAATGATCAGCTTTTCATGTACCAAGACTCAAATTTAATAGTTTCAAAGCCTACTCTTATACATTAGGTAAGGAGGGGAAAGCAATTATTTTAAATTTCAAGACTTTATTTAGCATGTTCCTAATTACCAACCTTGATTAAATATGCACTGTTCTGTTCTATAATTTGTTGCCATTTGAAAGGTAGCTTCATAATGTTTAGCTAATAGAGGTCTTGTTCCCAATCTAAACTCGAATAATCCATTCTCACAATCTTTTTTTGATGACAATTTCTGATCACTAAGGAAATGCAAGAAAAAGATGTAATCATTAGGAACCAAGTCTGGACTATATGGTGGATGCATCAAAATTTAATAGCCAAGTTCTTAGAGTTTCTGAGCAGTCACTATAGACACGTGTGGCTTGGCATTGCTGCCCTGATTAAATGTAGCACTTCTCCTATTGGCGATTTCTGGCTGTTTCTTGTCCCTCGCTAGTTTCAAACTGTCCAGTTGTTGATTGTAGAAATCTGAATTTAGTGTTTCGCCTTATGGAAGCAACTTATTATAAATTATTCCTCTCAAGTCTCACTAAATGCACAGCAGAATCATCCTGGATGTTAGTCCTGGTTTGGCCAGCATTTAAGTTGCTTCACCGCGCTTTGACAATGCTGCTAATTTTCGTACAATGCTGTCATATTTTGCCCATTTCTTACCCCTAGTCACCACCCGTTAAAGAAATTGTCGAATTTCATTCCGTTTGGCCAAGACTTTGCAGATGGAAATTCAATTCATCATGGTTTGGCACCCAAATATTAAGCTTTGTTTTTAATTCAGCTTTGAGAAAATGATTTATAACTGTTTTTATGGTCAATTTTTTAACTCCTGCGTAATGCTACGACTCCTAACAGATAGGTCAACTTCGATTATTTCTGTGTCAATTTTTAATGATGGACTTAGCTGAGCAAGTGCATCTTTATCATAATTAATATCTGATCGGAATAGACGTGTGGCGTAACTACCACTACAAAAGTNCTGAGCAAGTGCATCTTTATCATAATTAATATCTGATCAGAATAGACGTAACTAAAATTGCAGGTAATTGATTATTACAGTATGGGAATTATAAACATCATTCACAAATACAGTACCTGGCTTGCATTTTTGCCTTTATATAAGAAAAGCTGTAAAATGTACCAAACTTTCTCTTTATCGACTTTCATTTGTAACACCCTGGATCAAAATAATCTAAATGGATTTAACAAATATCAACAAAAGAATTTCTATTGTGAATTGTCACCTTTTCCCATCAAATATCCAACATAAATCAGAAATTATTTGATCGATACTTTGAGAGATATTTATCACTACAACCACCTAACGTAAAAATAATGGCTTTCTTTTTCCACAACCTGGTATAAATATGTTAATTAATTAGAACAGAGGATAATTTAAACTATGATATAAGATACAAAATCATATTATACGGTCTTAATAGTTAAATACCATATAGTATGTTTTTGCATAGGTTAATTAGGTGTTCGTTTTTCAAATAAATTAGGAGGAAATAGATATTAACTTAGTATACTTTAATATTTACTCTTTGATACAGAAATTCAGGTTTTCGGAAAAATTAAAACTTTGAAGGACTAACCTAAAGGAGTATAATTATTTCCTTGCCGCAAATTTTATTAATGTAATTCAGATTCAATTCCGCTGTATTGCAGATTGGCTGTACTGTAGGTTGTAGAAAAGTGCGACGAGCTTTATTCGCTAGCTTATAGCTTTTTATTTCCATTAATGAAGCTTATGCTTGAGGCAGAGAAGATAGCAGAAAGCCGAAAGTTAGAACTTTTTAATGAAATACATCTATTTGATTGGCTGTAAATTTTATGTAAAATTAACTTTTGATATGAAATTTATTTTGTTAATCTGACATAAAATTGACTTTTTAAGTTAAATTTGTTTATGCATTCAATTATTTATATTGATTTATAAGTATTCTTCTCCTTCTTCTTGTCATTGGCACGACAGCCCAGGATGGGCCTTGGCCTTCTCAACAAGCCCATACCAAGAAATTCTTCCCTTAGCCAAGGTTCTCCAGTTTATTATCTTTAAAACTTTTTGGTCCTTTTCAAGGCAGTCTAAAAATCTTAGGTTTGACCGTCCTTTTTTTCTTGTACCTATCGGCCTGGCACTGAAAATTTTTTGGTTGTCCTGCTATCCTCCATTCTTATAATGTGGCCTGCCCATTTAATCCTTTGAATTTTGATAAATTTAATGACTTCAGATTCTTTATATGCTTTGTAAAGTTCCGTGTTTTGATCTTCTAAACCAGGTACCGTTTTTACTTATTCCACCAAAAATGCTTCGCAGTATTTTTCTCTCAAATCTAGCTATCATATTTTCATTTTCACCGGTCATCATATTTTCATATTTTGATCTCCTCTGGAAAAAACTATAATTGTTTTCCTAGTAAAATTAAATAATAAGAATTCTTTTCTTCTCTTTCACATATGAAATATTCATATAATGTGATTTATGTCTCACATATGACAATCATATGCTTTAAAAAGTAAACTGCAATGTTTAAAACTTGTAGCCAAAGTTTGTGAAGTTTAATTTAAATACTTTCTAACAATAATGTTATTAACGGGCACTGTGAATTTATATTTTTTAAAAGGGGGGATTTCTAATTTGACCGAATCATAAATCAGTATGTAATTCATTTGCTTTAATAAAAAAATAAATTCTTTTGTTGCTAACATATTCACAATATTTTAATTTTTCCCACTAAAGTTTTATTGATTTAACGAATGAGTGCTTAATTATTCTAGTCAATGAGTCATGATTGGTCAGTTGTTAAGGCTAAGGACATTCATGAATTCATTGATTTAAAATTACTTAGTTTTATTAAAACACGTTTCAAAAGCGTAACTATATATATATAAAATAAGAGTATAATTTTAGAAATACTAATTTAACTTACGTAGTTCACCTGTGCTACAAAGTAATCATTCATCAATGAGCCTATGTGACACAACTAACTAAAAATAATTAAATACTATAGAAGGGGCAATATACTCATTTTTATTCAAAACAGCCTTAAACCAGCTAATATCACTGACGCTACCTCTCAAATATTTGAAAAGAAAAAGAACAGAATTGTTTATGGTTTAATTTAAACAATGGCTAATGCTGAACCAATAGGTAACAGCCGTGGTGACTCAGGGGACGCAATGTAGGGAGTTAATATTTTTAGCTAAAGTCTTCGTTACATATTTTCTAAGCATTATCGCACATATGTGTTATACATATCGCATATATATATATTGAACATTTTTATAGAATATTAAATGTTTACAAGAGTAATTATGGGAGTTTTCCGTTAATTTTTTATGCTTTTTTTTGTATCTGTATAGTTATATTTTCACACCTGTATACTTTACAAATAACACATTCTATATTGTATGGTTTTGATTAATTAATCATGGAGGCAAAATAACATGAAAATTCGACTATTTTAAAAAAAGCATTGATTTTTTATTTAAACATTTATTTCATATTTAAAAATTTAGAATTTGAATTGATTTTCTTAATACTGTTAATGGCACTTAAAAATGTACTTAGAGTTTTAAGTAGCTTTATATATTTATAAATTAAAATACAGTTTTAGAGAAATATTCATCAATGAATTTATGCTTTAAAAATTATATTAAACTGTACTTACACGGAATATTCAGTAATAGATGCTTTAAATGTATTTATGAACTCTTAATATAGGTTTTACTTTAGCTTTAAAAAATATTGCAAACGCATGACTTCATATCAAAATGTAACTAACTCTATTATATTTAATATATTTTCGTGAACATGAATTTCTTTTATTCATCGAAATAAGTTTAAAAAACTGAAATGATCTGAAAACTAAAATGATCGTCCCTCTCGTCTTTTGTTGCTCTGTAATTCAAAAAATAAAAAATAATCTCTGCAATTCAAACTTTAAGTATTTTTTACTTTTCATAATTAGATAGAATTTAAATCATTCATGTTTTTGCCCTATAAAAATGTATCCATAGTACCTTATACCTAGAACGAGAGGGAGCAGAGTGGCCCCAAAGGTATTTTGGCAAGCACCCCATAACCCCAGGTAGATTTGGGTGCAAGGTTTCATTAAAAAGTTGTTTAATTAAAAAAAAAGCAAAGAAACAAGAGTATTTCAGCATATCAATTATTATTTATATGGATAAAGAAACTCAAATATCTAAGAAAGTAATTAATTGAAAAGTCAGTGTTCCATTTAATCAAATATTTCTGCAAACCAAATCGAATAAAATACCATAGGAGTTCAATGATTGAGTTTCTAAAATATATTTTATTAAATTATTTATGATAATATTTTAGATTTTTAATTGATCTACACACAAAAAATCTGGGATAGGTTAAGTTGGATCCTTCAGGCTTTTTAGCTATAGAGAAATGATCAGTCTTTCTAGTATTAATGGGTTAAGAGACGAATCCAAGTACTGTATCATGATGGCATTATCCATGTTTGGAGGTTTTGTGAGAGATAGCACATCAATTTCCATCCAACATCTTAAACTGCGTCCATCATTTGGAGTGATATCACTAGATATAAACCTCGATCATCCCTTGTTCTTAGTCTTGGTACTTTGAATAACAACATTTATATTTCTGACATATTAAGGCAAGTGTGAGTTTGATCTGCCTCTGAGGCCTCTATATATAGAGGCTTCTATATATATAGCATGACGTTATAACGTCATGCTTCAGCAGGACAATATACGAAAGCATGCTGCCCGCACTGCCCAGCCCTTTCTCGATCGAGAAACTGCTTGATTGACTGCTTGATTGCAAGCATATATGCCTGATGAGAGATTAGGGGCCAGCATTTTTTCCTGATTTCTCACTAATTGAAAAAAAGTGGTGAATGGTTACCGACAAATTGGCACGGCATCTGTCACTATTTATAATTGTTGAAGTGCTTTTATGGAGTTGAAGCTGCCTGGCGGTCCTCTAAAGCATGATACACTTTGACTTCATGCCCAAGTAGATACTCATTGTTATTGTTATTGTACATCCTGATGTCTCAGGACCTATGCTAATTAGTAAATTCAATCACTAGTTCTCTCTCCATAAGTCCCGCAGTGGACTGATCATTAAGACACGGTTCCCAGCAGATAACCGAAGTCAAGCATCACTGACTGCGATCAGTGAGCGGGTGGGTGACCACTTGGATCAGTCTGCGTAGGGACCGTGGGTGTGCGGTATTGGTCCTCGTTAAACTGTTCCGGTTACCGTAAAGTGTTCGACTTCGCTGGCAGGTCGTCGGGCTACCGAAGCGGGAGTACCATCCCCTGCAGAGGATCAAAATTGTGATGGCATGTCTTCGGATCATCCTCAGGGATGTTTCCCAGACCGTGGCTAATAGCCCATTGTGCAGCTCTAGTGCGATGTAAATGAACTACAACAACAACAACTTTCTCCATAAATGTTCAATAAAAAAATTTTTGCTTTTTTTTTATTCGTCGCGTTTCATTTTAAATAGCGAGAAGTGTAATATACCAGCTTAGTACAATAACTAAGGTAGCAAATATTATTTTAATTATCTGCTACATTTGACTTACCCATTGGTAAATTGTGGCCCACTTGAAGGTATCTGATTAGTAGGTTATTTGAGAAGTTATTTTGTCTATCATTAATATTTGAAAATGGCAGAATGAGAGTGATCAGTTAAAATCAAATGCAATGTAAGTTTGTTTTCATAAATTGCCTCGGGATAATTTATTTTTGAATCTCGAAATTTCTCACGTTTTAAAAGACGGGCTAGTGGGTTTTCTTGAACGGCTTATACACTGGATGTTTAGTAATTAGCACCCTCAACACATTATCGATCATATCGGCATCTTGTTTCAGATAATCAATCTACTTGCTTAAACTTAGTTCAAAACAAAATAACGACTCAAAAATAGATAAATATGTTTTCATTTTCTATGTGACCATGAAGTTTACATAAGAAAACCCTCGTTTTTTACAGGTAATTTATTTTTAAGGTCGCAAAATTGTTTTCAAAAAACTGATTTAGTTATGAGAATCATTTAATTACATTTATTTTAGTTTTTTTTTGTCCTTATAATTTTTTTTTACAATTGAAAATTACATTGTTATTATAATTTCAAATAAAATATTAGAGTTTCGACTTTATGCAATAACTTTTTTATACATCGGTGACATATAAAAATGTACTATATTTCTTGTACATTTGCACAAACCTTCTTGAATATTTACCGGTGACTAGATAGTCTGATCTTTCAGCTAAACATAGCTATTTTTTATTGATGTCTTATTAAAATATACTTAAATTTTACAACTTCCTATAAATTTGTTCTGAGAATAAAGAAACTCAGAAAGTGAAGTTAAAAATATATTAGCTTGTTTAAGTAAGGCCATCAATTATTAGATGATGAATCAATACTGATGTTCAAAATTGAGAAAAATTTTAGATTTCGTCTACTATTTATAGAACCATTTAACCGATTTAATAAAATACATACATATTAATCCATTAACACTTTAAAATTCACACGCATGATCATACGTAACAATAATCAGAGTGGGGAGGAATGGTCACATGATTGAACATAAAAAGGGGCTTAATATGAAGTATTTTCCTTTCCCAGTTTCTTTAACATTTTAGTTATTCCTGACTCAATGGCCTGAAATCGGTAACGCTTCTTTGAGGCAGACGAGAGTTGCGAGTCGCAATTCTGACTATATATTATCCAGCAAATATCTCACTCTCCACAAGCGTTGACAAGATGAATTCTACGTCATTGTAAGTTGTTATCTATCAATAAATAAATTTTCTCTTTTTGCTAAACGTAGGTATAGTTTAATGACCTGAGTTTCCGTCTGAGCCTGTTCAAAGTTGCTTTGTTAAAGAACTCCACTATAAAGCGATTTTCATAAAGAGAAGAATATGACGAATTATGGTCTAATTCTACAAAGTTCCTTTCTGAAAACAGAGGGAAGTCGCCTACGTAGTTGACTCCGTTTAAAGTCATGTTTTGTCAATAATCTGAAATTAGAAATGATCTCATTTATTAGAATGCTACCTGAGAGGGGATGAGAAAGAAGTCTGCTCCAGGATTTACTCATGGTCTGAGTCACATAAGAGTTCTTAATTTCAGAGCTGCACTTTTGCTTTATTTTCCTACAGGCGTTAGAATATGGCAAGATGGTTAATGCAAGGAGCATCACCAGTTTTAGAAAGTTGGTCAGCTCGTTCATTGCCAGGAATATCGTAATAATTCATTGATGGGTCATTTATTTAAAAAAACAAACATTTCAGTTGCATTCATTCAAGAAATATCCTCTTACGAAGAGATCCTTAAGTTTGGATTGCAACTTGAAGAAAACAAGAAAAACAGTCTTGTTGTAAGATGCAAAGATCTAGAGGTTGAGGCAGCTTGGTCGATTCGCCAATGCCTGCCTCAAAATAAGCTATTGGGAAACTGTAGCAATCAATGATGCATTGGTAATTGAAACCTGAGATAAAGTCTCTGTGATCAGGAGCAGAGTCATCAGTGTGAATATGCTGTTCATCAATAGAATAAAGGCTGTGGGGATGTAGTGAACAGACTCAATGGTCTAAGCCATCAGACCAGATTTGCATTTCATCACCGAGTAAATTTTTTTACTCCTTAAAAATTTCATCCACTTTCTACGCACCTATAGAGTGCCCAATCTTTAATCTTAGCCCTGTGCCATATGACAATGCAGTTATAATTCAATCAAAGTATGAAATTGATTCAAGCAAATAATGAGAAAAAACTTTAAGAAAAAAAACCTTTAAAAAGTCATAATGGAAAAGCGCTAAAAGCAGCTAAAAACAAATTTGTCTTATGTAAACTATTTAAATGAAAAGTTAGAAACCAAAAACAAGCAAAAACGAAATTCTAAAAATATATATATGTTAGCAAAAATAGTACTTCATCAGGGGACACATTGTCTGCTAATACACTGGAGCCTTTCTGTAATCAGTGGCTAAACCAAAAACTGACTGTGCCTTGAAGCCCCATAATGGAAAAACTAAATTAGAAAATGCAATCAAAAGTTCAGATATTGAAATAAAGATGTAAATTCAATGATAAAAAAAATAAATAAAAAAACACAAGTTAAAAGTACACTGAGAAAATACCAATAAGTCCTTATTAGTATTTTTTACCACAGCGTACTTTTGACATTTTTTTTTTTTGTGTATCATTGAAGTTTCATCTTCATTTCAATATTGGAATTTTTGATTGCATTTTCTTATTTAGTTTTTCCATTATGGGGCCTCGGGGCACAGTCAGTTTTTGGTTTAACCACTGACTACAGAAAGGCTCCAATGTGTTGGCAAACTGTGTGTCCCCTGATGAAGTGCTGCTTTTGCTAACATATAAATCTTAAAAATTTCGTTTTCCTTTCTTCTTTTTTGTTTTCTAACTTTTTATTAAAATACAGTTACAATGATTTTTTTGACCGATGCAAGCAGTATTTATCGTCAGTTAAAATGGTGAGTACTTTCTAACATAAACTAACAGCTACAGAACTAAAGTTACTAAAAAATAACAAGATGAAAGAGGAACCTTTATTTTTGTTACACCTAAAACGTGAGACATATCGCCTTCGCAGTCAACATATATCGCGACCAACCACATTTTTCGAAAGAAATGTCACTTATATTTTAAGAGTGATAAAAAATAAAATTTCATTTAATTTTCGAGTCCATAAGAAAATCGTGGTTTTAAAATTTTTATTATTTCATTATTTGTTGAGAAAACTCTAAGGCATAGATGCGTTTGTTATTATTAAAAAAAAATAAAGAAAAGCGTGATTTTCCAACTTCTGTATCTGGGTCCTTAACACTAGTCTCTGTTTGTGGGGGAAAAAACTGATTTTAGACAAGATAACCTGATTTTGGGCGAAATATGGAATCCCTATCAATTAAATGATAATAAAAAGGCGAATAAATAAACACAATTCTAACCGACTGAATAAATACGAGTCTGTTCAGTAAAATGCTTATCCAAATTTAGGGAAATTTCAAAGAAGTACGTCATTAGTTACACAAATAGCTGATAAATGAGTTTAATCTCAAATTATTATTTTTACAAAAATATCCTCAATAAAATTAGTAAACATAAAAGTAAATTCCTTCACGGAAGCTTCGTGGACTTTTTATTTTAGAAATCTAAAAGTCTATGAAAGAAAAGTAAGAGTTTTAAGACATGCGGCTTTTACAATCAATCTTTTTTCGAGCATTAAAAGAGCGGCGTTTTAAGTACAGGTAAGCCTAGGAAAATTTTCTGACTTTAATTTATTTCAAAAAACAGTTTTTCAAAAAGAATTCGGATTAGTAAATGCATTATATTTCATTGAAAAACTACTTGAAATGTATAGCCTGAATATACTCTTTTTCATTTAATTGAAAATTCTAAATTTTGTTCACTTTAAAAAATGAATGCAAATAAATGTCAACAAACCTTCAATTTCCACAATTATGTAAGATTCCAAAAAAAAATATTCTTACAATTTCGTTTATAAAAATATTCACTGAAAATAAAGTAGTTAATTTATTAATGAACCCTTTAAAATTTTATGGTGTTTTTGAGGTTTATTTGATTTTTTTTTAAGATGTTAAGGTTGATTTGAGGTTTATTTGAAGTTGACATCGAAAACAATTTTGACAAATCATCCTCCCACGGTTTATACTCAAGGTGTATGAAGTTGTTTTATTCATACTTGAGGTTGTTTTACGGTTGGCAGAAATCTTTCTTATAGCAATCAGCTTAGAGAGATTGTTTTTGGGATGTAATGGTTATTTATTTATTATTTTTACATTTTAATAATGTAATTTTTCGTGTTTATGCTCAAATTCACCTTTATCTTTAAAAATACTTTAAAAATTTTTTAATTTTACTTTACATTTATAATTTTAAAACCCCTGTTTGCTAAACATAAAATTAAATTTTGATTTAGCCCTTTTAAAAAAGTATATTTGAGATGTGAATAATTTCATCTGATTTCAACTAAAAGTAATACTGAGCTATAAATGAGGTTGATTTTATAAGATTTAACTGATGTTTATTGAGGAGGTTATTTTGGTACAAAATATGTAATCATATTCTACCTCAAGTGTAATTTCTTACACCTGTCAATCTCAAAACAACCTCAAAAACACTAGTAATTAATATATTTAAACAAACGTAATTCATTTTTTTGGGTACTGCGAAAAATCACTTTTGATATGATGTTCTTGAAAATTAAGCATACTACGTTACCAAACTATTAAGTCCACTTTCAGACTTAATTTACAATAGGTTTTAAAATACGCTTTATAATTTACAGAATTTTAAATTTTAATCTTGACTGTGTTTAAAACATGGATGTAATACTATTGAAGGAGTTGAATTCATTATGGTTCGCATATTCTATAATTTAACAACTTAATTAGTAGAATTGAAGTAGGTATCAACTCTAGCAGCTGTTGGAAAGACAGAAATATTCATCCATAAAAGAAGTAATATTAATCGGTTTCTAAACGTCATTTTAATATAAAGTAAATTACTCCTGCAACAGCTCGTTGTGGGCCAAGGGTTCATGGAGATAAGGCTCACAATTTTGTGATCAATGTCATGATTATAGCAATGTGGTTAGCACTGCGCACAGCTCCAGACAAGCTGGTACATCGATCTGAAGATGGATGGGTCTCAAGGCGTCACTGAGGATTGGACCTCAGTTTTTCAAGATGAAAATTCAGTACTTCAACTATGAATTATTTTTTCTAATGCATATTGAAATGTAATGTAAGTTAAACGTAATGTAATTCAAAGGTTGATAAAAAAAATCAACCGAAATCAAAGGTTTAATAAGATCCATATTTTTAGATCATATTTATTTAGATTTTGATGTTTTTAGATCTTGATTCATGGCATCTTATTAGATCTTTATTGAATTTTCTGAAACGAGTCTGTGACTCTAACATTCCAAGATCACACGGTATAAAAAATAATAATACTTATTAAAAGTCAAACACTATTATAAAAATGTCTAGTTAGAGACTAAATAGAATGGACAAATACTCTCATTAGTAATAAAGTCATTGAGCTAAAATTAACAATTTAACATTTTATTTAGGCTTTTCTTACTTCAAAGCAAATATTTTACTACAATTTCTTAAAATTATTTAAGGGAACAATTTAAAGGTGAAATATTTAACGTATTTCCGTGATTCTCTAGATTAAAAAAAATTATGAGCACATGCTGCATTAACACTCAATTTATATCGAAGGAAACTTTTAAAAAAACTTGATAATATTTTTGTTGTTTTTTTTTTAAATTAAAAAAAAATATGATCACTAATTTATGCTCGTAACTGCAACTCTTCACAATTAGTACAATTGAAATTTTAAACTACTCTATTCATTAAAGCATTTTTCTTTCAAATGTGTTTGAAAAAAATCATGAAAGAATGGATGATTACATGAGTTTTAAGAAAAACTAAGAGTTTTCCTCCTTGATCGTTTCGCTCATCAACCTCCATGGTTGTTTCACATTCATATTTGCTTTTATATCTTAAAAACTGATATTATTTTTAAGAAAAAAAGATTGATTGGCTTATGAAATAAATACTTAGTATAGTCTTATGAGCTAATAATATTTTTTTGTTAATGTGTTAATCCTAACAAAATAAACGATAACTTGGACTTGAATAATAATAATAAACTTGAAAAAAATATTTATAATGAAAAAATATGAATGAAAAATAAAAATACAGAATGATACAACGCAATAAGATATAATAAATAAGGCGAAATTTCACATGTAAACAATATGTAACGAAAACCTTATATTGTATATCATTTCCAATTGGAAACGGTTTTCACCTCTCTTAAGTCTTTTTGATTTTTAAAAATTTCTATATAAATATTAAGAGTTATATCTATCAACATCTTATCTCTTTCTCAAAAGTTTTTTAACAAAGGACCCCGAGTTAAGGTCGAGCTTATAAAATAAAGATCTTGAGATGGGTAAATTTATTTTTATACAAAAAAGGTTTAAAATACACATATATATCAGATCGTGTCATTAATAACTTCCGTTTTTTTATCAGACATTTATTTTGCTCTCATGGAATAACAAAATTATATTAATTTATTATGTATTCACCAGTATTATCTATAACCTTCTCCCACCTTCCTAGCAGTTTATCAATTCCTTCCTTGTAAAATATGATTGGTTTGGACTGGAAGAAGTTCTCGACAATCTGCCTGATTTGCTCTTTAGAATTGAAGGTTTTTCCATTCAAAAAGTTTTGTAAGGAACAGAAAAGGTGGTAGTCAGTTGGGGAAAGATCCGGGGAGTAAGGCAGATCTGGTAAAACAGACTATCCAACCTCAAGAATTTTTCTTTAGTCACCCTTGCCGTATGTGGTCGCGCATTGTCGTGTGAAAGATTGACGTTTTTGCGATTGACAAGTGCAGAACGCTTTTCACGGAGTTTCTTTTGCATTCTTTGCAACTGCTGAACGTATCTATCCGCAGCAATCATTAAATTTGACTTCAGCAACTCGTGGTGAATTATTCCCTGACAATCTCACCATACGCACAATAAAATCTTTTGCCATGGATGTTTGCTTTCGGTTCTAGTAGGGGTGGATGATCCTTATCAAGTCACTGTCTTTTGCGGACTATATTGATCTTTCATCGCCTGTTGCAATCCTGTTTAAAAATGGCTCAATTTTTACAAGTGAGAACAGACTTGTGGCAATTGACATGCGATCTTCGTTATTCCGTTTTCCGTTCACTTAGATTGTGAGGTACCCATACTCCAAACTGTCCAACTCTCCCTAATTGGCGTTTAATAGTTGATTGTGATGTATTCAGCCTTTCTGCTATACCTCTTGTTGATTGACGTGGACTTAGCTCCAATATTGCCTTTAAAAGGTTGTTGTCAAAGTCGGAAGGACGTCCAGCCCTCGGTTCGTCTTTTAAGGTCTTATCTCCAGAACGGAATATAATAAACGGAATATAAAATTTCTAACTGCCCAATCAGTTATTAGTCCTTCACCATATACACTGCATATTTTTTCTGCTGTCGTCTTAGCACTATTGTCTTGTTTAAATTCCCAAAGCATTACATGACGAATATGTACTTTTTTACTCTCCATTTCAGAGGTTAAAAAAAACAAAAAAACAATGTAACGTAACTTTATCAGACGAAGTAGTTGACAAAAGATTAACTGAAGCCTCGTCTATATAGTGAAAACTAAAACTTGTTGTCATGGTAACTCATAGCGGATAGATACGAACAATGGATTCTACTTGCATCGGAAGTTACTCATGACTTGACTTAATAATTGAAAAAAATATTATACGAGAAAAAAGCATCTAAAATTGTAATCACTTTCGGATAAAGTTGAAGTTTGAAAAAAAATCATGTTAAGTTTATAAATAAAGATGGTTTTTACAGCACGTCAAATTTCAACTCTCTAGTTTCCTTTCAGCGATTAATAGATCAAGCAATATATTTTTTTACAACTAGTCTAATAGTTGGTAATTCTCAAACTAATAATAAAAATCTTAATTTTTTTTTGTACTTTGTGTACATTTCCTATGCACACATGCTCGCAATCGCGCACCTTGCTTCGTCTTATAATTTTTGCATAGTAAAATAAAATGTAAAGTAAGGCAAAAGAAAAAAGTGGACAAAAACCTAATTCGTTAGAAAAACCATAAAATTGCAATAACTCTCGAACAAATTTAATAATTTAATCTTTTTTTTAAAAAAAGAATTTATATGTTAAGTTTATAAACAAAAAAAGCTCTTTCAGGTCATCGAATTTAAACTAGTGTCCTTCCAGCGGCTCCATTTCTTATTATAAGTTTATCAATTAATATTTATCGAATTAATAATCGAAGCTTAAAATTTTTTTATCCTCAAGCGAATCACCTGTACATTTTCTACACGTCTTCGTAATTTTAAGTTTCTAAGTCTTATAGTTTTTGCACAGCAAAACAAAGGAGAATGCTAAGTTGAAATGTTGAGCGTTGGTGGCGCTTACGATTTTCTAATATAGAGAGACCATAAAAGGAACTTGAAAAAAAAAGTTGAAGATTAGGAATCCTAGACAATACGGCAAAATAAATAAAAAATAATTTTATTCTTGAAAAAGACACGAGTAAGTGGGTCAAATATAATTGAAACTGCTGCTGCTAAAAAAGAATTTTAATAGCAGCAGACGATCTCTATTCTCATTGTCATGGCAACAATAGAACTTTATCAAGTCTAAATAACCGTTTGGCAGCATTTAGTTCTTCGCAAGTTCTTTTTTCAGTAACTTGAATAATGAGCGAGCGTAACGTTTCAAATGCAGTTCCACAACACATAATAATTACATTTTTAACAAGAGAAAATGTCAAATCTATTGAAAAATTTTCGCAAATTACAGGTACGTACAGTTCCTGTGATACCCTTTCGAAGACTCAGGTATACAAATGGAAAAATTTATATAAATAAGGCCGTGAAGAAGTTGAAAGCTTGTCTCATAATCTTGGACTAAGAACAAGTCTTACGTCAGAAAAAATTGGCCAAGTCCGTGACCTTATTCATAATGACTAACGAAATAAAATTCGAGAAATTAACGCTATGACAGAAATGAATTAGGGAGTATTTAAAGCACAATTTATGACAAACTGAAATACCGAAAAATCTCTGCCAGATGAAAGTGCTTAGAAGTCAAATTTCTTTTTTTTTAAATGTAAATTTTTTCCGATTTTTTTTCGGTTCTAAAAGGAATTTTTTTTAGATACTTCAGCATAAAGAAAAGTAACAGTTATGTCTCCAAGAATGGAAGCCTGCCATTCAGCGATGTCACCGTGGCTGACCTCTTGGATAATGCATCTGACACGTATGGAGGCCATACTGCTTTGATATCTGCCCATCAAAATATTGCAAAAAATTATTGGGAGCTTAGAAATGAGGTGATGTATTATTTAACATTAAATAATAAATTATGATAAATAATGATAAATAGTGATAATAATTATAAGAGACTCAACATAGTTTTCCGACAACGCGCTCAGACAAAAGTACCGAGTAAACACAAAAGAAAAGTTGGAAGAAAAAAAAATGGCATATCGCTGTTTGTTCCTATCATTGCGGTTCATGCGTATTTAATTCACGGAGGAATATCTATACTAGCCGCCTTTGACGACTAGCTTGATCATTTTTCAAAATTATCTTGTACAACAGATAAACTTTAATGGTAACCAAGCCGAATGCAAAGCACAACTGTATTTAAATATTCTAATTATTTCAACCCTTCCTCCAATCCTGGATCCTTAATTAAGTTTTGAACAATATGTTAGCCAATTTTTTCTCCATCTAGCTGTTGAGTGCATCTCTGATCACATGGAAGTAGTTTAATTTTAACTATTTTCATGAGATGTCTTGCGATATTGTCAAAGTTATTTATGCACTGCATTAGGCATTCTTTATGCAAGAATAATTATTCAAATTCTGTCCGGCTGCCATTAAACAGCCACAGAAACACCATCGTATGTATGACTTGGAGGCATTTCAGTATAGTAGTCAGCAACTTGAAGTATTAAAATCATTTCCATGTCTGTCTGTCGAATGGAATTCCAATGTTAGGCATTTGGAATTAAATATTTGCTGTTTGGAATTAAATATTTGGAATTAAATATTAACGGTGCTCCTTTTAATATTTTGTAGTTAAAATTGTTTGCTTCAGATTACTCCTGAATATTTTATTAAGGTAATACATTTTCTTGTATATTTATTTCTATGAAATCTTACAGGCAGAAAAACTCGCGTCTGGTTTCATAGCTTGCGGTTTACAAAAAGGAGATAAAATAGCTATTTATAGTCCTAATTGCTACGAATGGTCACTAACGCAACTGGCTGCTGCCAAGTCTGGTTTGATTTTGGTACGTTTTAAATATTTTCTCAGTCTTGTTTGACATTTTAAACATAATTTATTGAAAAGTATTGACGTCAAAATCGCATGAAGTACAATTTAACAAAAATGTTTTTCAAACTGTGCACTTACTTGATTTCTTAAGAGGATGTTTTACCGTCACAAATTCTTTTTTATTTCCATTAGTAATTAAAAACTTAAAGTATAGAGAAAGTGAGTTCAAGCATACCTAGTGTAAGCTATGAAGTTGCAATAGATGAAAAAATTTCAAAATGTAAGCAAATTATTCGAAGAGAAGTTTTCCATTGCGTAATCCTAAATTATCCTCTCATGATTTGTTTTCATTTTGATATTTTAAAAATTTCTTTTCAGTATTTGAAACTGCATGGTTTACTCCAAATTTGCCTGATCTCAACTTTTTTCTGTACTTTAAATTTTAAAATACTTATGGAGGTGAAAGAGAGTTTGAGATGATAAGTTTTTCCAGTGGTTTAGCTTCCTCTTACTTTTCTGTACGTGGAATGTAAAGTAGGTAGACATGAAATATGAAGCACAGTGCGGAAAAATGAGTACATCTGTTACCACTAAATCTCAAAAAGCAGCACATGACCTAGCAAAACTGCAGATTAACTTGGGTAATTGGTTAATGAGGGTAATCAAGTATTTTCCGAAATTTACAGAGGTAATGTACGTTTTAAAGCTCTTCATACAATTGAAGTTCAAAAGTTTGTTTCTTTATTTAATCAACTTACTTGCAGTTTATTTGATTGTATTTATTAATCCGATTTTTAGATATTGAAAAGTAATGAAATGATATTACTTTAATTTCCCATATTGTAATAATATTTTAAACTGTTTGATTCTTGGTATTAGAGCTTTTAAACTGACTGATGATCCCTTCTTTCAACTAATGTGTAGATTTTTTAGGAAGCGGAAATAAATACATAAGCGTGCAAAAGCGTCAGTTGTTGCAGCAACGATCTTATTTTCGTTTAAAAGAATGCCTAGTAGATAATCTTCAGATTATTTAGGAAATTTGCTTATTGTCTAAGTAATATGGGAAATGAAACAATTTGTTTGCCTCTTGCGGATCACACAGTTAATAAAGACAATCTGCAAAATATAATTGATTTCTACCGCAACATATCTTCCACTGAACTCTGACGGTACTAGTGTCAAAAGTTGACTTAAATCATGTTACCATTTTGGGTTTAAATATCTCCTTAGGATTCAAGATTCCTTATTCCCTTAGAATTTCTTATATTCTCTTGTTTATTATTCTTTTATTTTGACATGATTGATTTCAAAATAATAAAAATATAAATTTTAAATCAAGTGGGTTATAAAATACTCGTATATATCTTGCTTTCAGTATTAATAATCAGTACAGAAAGGAAGGATTTATTAATTCTGAATTGTACATATTTTTTTATAGGTTGCTATAAATTATTCATGCACACCTCAAGAATTGGAATATTGTTTGAAAAAAGTAAGAGAAACTTACTTCGAAAGTTTTTTTCCCAAATTTTCCTACAGGGATTTTTAATATCAATTTATTTTACTTTGTCTTTAAAATTAATTTAGGTAAGTTGCAAAGCTGTCGTATCCTTTAACAAACTTGAACATCAAGATTTTTATGAAACTTTCAATAAAATCATACCCAATCTGAGAGCAAACAAAGCAGGGCGAATTCAAAGTGACAAGTAAGTAATGCACGTCCTGTTTTTTTTGTCTCCTACCTCTCTGTTTTGGCTATTGATTATCCTCCTACCTCTCTCTTTTGGATATTAATTATCTTCCTACCTCTCCCTTTTGGATATTGATTATCCATCTAACTCCCCCTTTTGGATATTGATTATCCTCCTACCTCTCCCTTTTGGATAATAATTATCCTCCTACTTCTCCCTTTTGGATATTAATTATCTTCCTACCTCTCCCTTTTGGATATTGATTATCCATCTACCTCTCTCTTTTGGATATTGATTATCCATCTAACTCTCTCTTTTGGATATAAATTTCCAACTCATAGTTTTTTTAAATTATTTTTTAGGTTTCCTAGTTTAGAGAAAGTTATTATGATGTCGGATGAGAACAAAGAGTAAGACCAGATTTAAGTATAATTTTTTTTCTGTTTTAAAACTTCAATCATGTTGTAAAATTACCGATTTTATCGTTAACACTATTATATCATTATTTTCTTGAATTTTTATAATACATCTGCTATGAGATTTTTTGAGCTTTTCTCAATACACATAAACACTGATAAGATATAAACCACATTTAATGGGTCTTAAATGATGTGATATAATTTTAAAAATGTCCTCCTCTCCTAAAATTATTTATAAATATATTTTTGAGTTAATTGCTTTGTAAGATCTCTATTATGATACAATGGGTTATTTATTGGCTTTAAAAAAAGCTTAAAAAGGCTAAGTTAAGATTTTACAAGCTATAAAAACTGGGCTTGAAGCATATTTGGTTTTTTACTCTCGTATTAATCTTTAAATAAATAAAGTTTCACTACTGGACGCTTTAAGTGAAACCTGTGTACATAAATAATAAAATAAAAATGAAAAAAATCACAAACGTTTACATAAGTAATATTATTTTAGTGTTTGTCAGTGTACGTCATTTTATTTGCATGTTTTCAAGATATTTTGCCAAGAATGGAAACAGTTTATAACTTCCGTAGCGTAAAATAAAATGAGTAATTTCATAAAACAGACATTACAAACATTCATAACTTAGTAATGCTCAAATTTGCAAGGTTCTTTTTATAATTTCGTTTTATTTTTTTTCTTTAAAAGGACTTTTATTTACGAAAAAGCAAAAGCATGTCTATTATTATACAATGAAAAATACTGCATTCCGGTTTAAGCGTGTAAAACGGAAATTTAGCATCGCGTGTTTCTGATCATCTTAATATGTTATTAATAGTGAATTATTAGTATTATCAACTTATTTAAATTTTAGTACTGAGATTGCAACAGTTTCACTTCAAATTAAATAATCGTAAGTGGCACAACCTCCAGTTTTTTGGTTTTACCAAGTTTTTGGGTGTTCATCCTTATGTTGCATTTTGTTTTGACGAGCAACAACTTCGTAACTTCAAACTTTTGAGATTACGAAAGTGAAGAAAAAATGAGCAGGATGAAAAAAGAAATTAAACAGTTGGTTCAAAAATTTCTAACTGTCAAACTTGCAGTGAAAAATACTATGAGGCAAGCCCCTTTAGAATTGAAATTAGGCTTGCTGGGCGGTCCATTTTTATTTATAATTTTAGGACAAGTTTTGATTTTCAAAATACTAATTTGATCGAAAGTTATTGCAATTTTAAGTGTCTTTACCACAATTCATCTTATACTGCCTTAACTATATAGTCGTCAATAGGTCCACTTGATTCTTCTATATGTGTTTACTAAATTTCTTTTAAAAAAATTAACTAACATCAGGAAATTTTCTTGTTTGAACTTCGTGAGCATTTAACATTTATTTTTATCATTTAGAGGAACGATACGTTTTAAAGATGTGCTAGAGAGTAGGAATAGAGAGAGTGATATTGCTCTATCTCAAATTAAGAAGACTATTCAATTTGATGATCCATCGCATATTCTATTCACATCAGTAAGTAAAGTGGTATAATTACATTTTAATATAATAAAAGCTCTTTACAACAATTCTCTGAAAATTAGATAAAGATACTGAAGTAAAAGAATGGGATGTTATAAAGAAAAGTAGTTGTTGTTGTCGGCCATTAAAGCAGAAGGGGGTGCGATTGTTCTTGTTTTCCAGTGGTGCCATCTATGGTCAAGAATACGACTTCTGCTACACCCATACGTAGCACCCGCTTATAGGGCGGATCCATTCATGCATCCATTCATTTATCCACAGATCGTAATTTGACCTAAACCAGAGAACGATCAATCTCCAATTCAGTACCCCCAGAGGTATTGATTTGCTACAGGAACATGGAGGACTTTGTGACCAGACAGATTTTACGTGCAGTAGTCACCATTTTCTACAAAGGATGTCTTCTGCTGGCTGGATTCGAACTCCCGTTCTCACAAACGTGAGTCCAGCACCCTACCATATAGGCTATCCCGGTCACGAAAAGTAGTATATTTTAAATATAGAACTATATATTTGGTATTAAGATGCAAAAAGTTTATCGAAAATAATTTTAAATAACTTCTATTAAAGCGGGTGAATTTTATTGATTTTTATGGATTGGTTTTATTTACGAAAAACTAAGCTGGATTGTCGGAAACACGCCTGTTTTTTTTTTTAAGTGTCAATTCTCATTCTCCCATATAATTGACACATGCCTGTGGTAAGTTTTCATTAGTTTACCAAGTGAAGGTACTAACGCAGTAAGCTCACCATAACTATATGGCATGTTCCTATGAAATTTCTATAAATTTACGGTGTATTCCCATACGTTTGCCATGTATATATGGTACAATTTCATAAGGGAATTCGTTATTGTGATCTTTAATAGTCATGAGTCCTTATCAAGATATATTTATATAAAATGAATATAATAATGGAATCAGTAATCAGATGTAATACCTGTAATTTCACGAAGAGAATCTAGAGAAAAAGTCAGTAGATTCATTGTCTAAATTATTCTGTGGACTAAGTATTTGTTTTTGTGAGTTAATTTAATGGATTCAAGTGGAATTGGAACCTAAACAAAAAAACATTTTTGAATTAAGAAAAAGAGGGGTGGGTTCGAAAATGAGCACAATGAGCACAATAACTTGTTAGTAAAAACGAAAATGCAGCAACAGATAATAAATTAAAAGCATTCTGTTCCGATTTAGGTAAAATTTTGGTTTTTGTCGTTAGAAATTGCATTGTTTAAATGATGTGCATAGTTGCCGCAATGTTAAAGGATAATAAATACAATGTTATCAAAAGGGGTAGTTTGTTTTACTGTCTTATAAAAGTACCATAGAACTATTTAACGTATTTGTTTTTTGTTAATAATTTTAGAAACTTTTATATGGTACAACAAAACAATTTTTCAGTGAAGGTTTGGTCTTGAGAGCCCTTTTTTAAAGTCAAATGAAAATTGCCCTAAGACATACAAGCTCTGTAAGAGTGAAACCTCTCCCTGGAGCAATATAAGTTGAATCTTATAAATTGATTTGATTTTTATCTGCAACTTATTTTGAGTTACTTAAACTTCTTCTTATTCAAAAAATGAAAAAGTATGTCGTCTAATGGCTGTTTTAAGTTAAAGAAGAGGAATTTTACGAAAAATTTTCACCTTAATTTTTTTTCTTTCAGGGAACAACTGGTTATCCAAAAGCAGCAATTCTTAATAACCAAAAAGCACTCAACAATTTAATTCGAATATTTTATCGCTTGGGTTTCGACAAAATGGTAAAAATAATTTTTTGACATTCTTGTAGATTAATTAATTTTTATGTGACAAGGAAGAGCTGAATTTATTAATTCTGAGTTAATAGATAAAAATAAACTTGATGAGAAATGATCCAATGAAGGAATGCATAAAGCACATGAGAAAATAAGCTCTCCAGTATTGACCTCTCTTTTTTGAACCCACGCCAACCTTTACTGCCCACGGCATTTATGAAAGCAAAACCTTTCATTATTGCAATGTCTTTTCTTCGTATTTTCTGAAGTTGTTAGAAGAGGGCCGTGCAAATTATGTGTGTTAAAATAGCTTAGTATCAACATTTAGAAATGAATAATGTCACATTCACGGTCTTACAAAGAGAGAATATTTAATCGTGTATTTAAAGCCTTATAAAGCGAGAGTGTTTAATCTTGCGCATGCTTAATTGTGCATTATGTTTTCAATAACTTCGCACAAGTTTGTTGTCAGAGTAATGAAGTGCTTTATAGTTTTGGTCTACACTGTAAGACATTTCGCCGAAAAAATGTCTAAATAACAGTTTATTTAATTGTTCTTCTTCTTCTCATTGGCACGACAGCCCAGGATGGGCCTTGGCCTTCTCAACAAGCCTATGCCAAGACATTCTTACTTTAGCCAAGGTTCTCCAGTTTATTATCTTTAAAATTTGTAGGTCCTTTTCAATGCAGTCTAAAAATCTTAAGTTTGGTCGTCCTCTTTTTCTTGTACCTGTTGGCCTGGCACAGAAAACTTTTTTGGTTGACCTGCTATCCTCCATTCCTATAATGTGGCCTGCCCATTTCATCCTTTGAATTTTGATAAATTTAATGACATCAGGTTCTTTATATGCTTAGTAAGGTTCCGTGTTTGATCTTCTGAACCAGGTACCGTTTTTACTTATTCCACCAAAAATGCTTCGCAGTATTTTTCTCTCAAAACTAGCTATCATATTTTCATCTCCACGGGTCATTGTCCAGGTTTCAGACGCGTATGTAAGCACTGATCGTATAAGGCATTTATAGAGTAACACTTTTGTTTTTCTTTTTATTAGGCTTGACTTAAGATATTTTCTTAGGCCATAAAAGCACTTATTGGCCAGCGTGATTCTCGTGTGTATTTCTTGAGTAGTGTCGTTTTTGTTGTTAATCTTAGACCGCAAATAGGTGAAGCTATCAATGGTTTCGAATTTGTATGCTCCAATTTCAAACTGTGTTTTTTTATAGTCAGCTTTTGTGCAGGGCATATACACTGGTTATCATAAATTAAGGAAAAATCACAAAAATAGCGATAACTCTTTCAAAAGTAAGCCAAACCGTGCAAAATTTGCATATGTTGTCCACTAAGAGTAGCNACACTTATTGGCCATCGTGATTCTCGTGTGTATTTCTTGTGTAGTGTCGTTTTTGTTGTTAATCTTAGACCCCAAATAGGTGAAGCTATCAACGGCTTCGAATTTGTATGCTCCAATTTCAAACTGTGTTTTTTTTATAGTCAGCTTTTGTGCAGGGCATATATTTAGTTTTATTTTCATTGATTCTTAATCCCATCTTAATGGCTTCCTTCTCCAGACATAAAAAGGATTGTGTTAGTGCTGTCTGCGTTCTAGCGATAATATCTAAATCATCAGCAAAAGTCAATATTTGAACTGATTTGTTGAAGGTATTTCCTCGGGTGTTGATGTTTGAGTCCCTTACTATTTTTTCTAATGCTAGATTAAAGAGGAGATTATTTAATTGTTATTTTACCATAAAAGGCTGAACTCCCTGTTCGCTGATGACCATCTTCCGACCATTGCTACGCATTCATTTTTGTTTCTTTGCATAAATAGTTTTTTCCCACGAAAATTAAATTTTTTAAATAAGATATATATTAAAACATTTTTCTGTTTGCCTGCGCTTATACCACTACTCCTAACGTAAAATTTTTTTATAACACCTATTAGTAAAAAACATATTTAGTACTATTATATTTTTAAAATAACATTTGAAATTAAATGTTACAATAAATGTTGTGTGTTCCCAACCGTAATTTAACAATACTAAAAACTTCCCGAGGCATATTATTCAGAAATTTGTTTTTCAGCCTCCATAGAGTTAGCGATTAAAAATCAGCTAGAATGTTTGTACAAAATTAGAAGTACTAATTATATCGACAAAACATTATCTATTCCAAAACATATGAATAATAAAATTGAAATATTTGAGAACGAAAATATTAAAATTTTGAGTATAAAGTTAGCTAAGTTTATTTTTTCATGAATAGCGATGTTTTGAAGAGCTTGTTGTTACATATTTTTCCATTTTTTTTCAAATAATTTTAAATAGGAACCAGTAATATGCTGTCCAGTGCCATTTTTTCACATCTTTGGTTGCCATATTGGAACATTAGGAATGATCTTAAGCAAATCTACCACAATTTTACCTAGTGCTACATACAATTACGTTAAAAACTTGAATTGTATTGAAAAATATAAGTAAGTTATTTCAATTTTTTATAACATTTTTATTTGGTTAATTGGTATTTGTAATGGATTATTCTTTTACTATAAAATGTTTTAATTGTACTAATTTATGCTTTGTGGGTTAGAAATTTAAAGAAGTAAATAAATAATTACAAAACAAATTCCTTAGCAAAAGTCTGGCCAGGAGTCAAGTTATGTATACATAGGGACCTATCATCGCCATAGTGGTTGCCAATACCAGAACGCCACGAATTGCGGACTCGCAGGCATAAGGTCCCGAGTCACGCAAGAATTTAAGGGCCACAAATTTTGCCGTAAGGCAAAGGAGGCAAAATCCGACGGATCACACAGAGATAAAAGGTATGGTCAAAACTATCAGAATATGATGACATTTACCGTGTTTCTGGCTCTAAGAAAAAACATAAATCTCGGTAATTTTTTTTTTGCAAAGCGTCTTAGTAATGATATTGAAAAATTAACAATAAAATATCGTTTTATAGCGTGTGATAAAATTTTATTAATGGGGTAAATTTTGATATTTTGAATCATGATACACAAAACAAGGCGTGAAATCACTTACTCGGTTAAATTCACTTTTCAGTTTTGCATTTTTCACTATATGTGTACAAAATTAGATAAGAGCTATAATTTCGAAGACCAAAATTAACTTTTGCCATACGAATGGAAAAGTTACTAAACTGAATGGTTTGAGTAGGTACTGTATATTTGGGTTTTAAATACCGCAATTGTAATTTTTTTTTATCGGAAGTTTTTTCTCCATACAGTACTGTAATTTCACCGGAATTTTCTTCTCTGTGCAGCAAGCACAGATTTCAAAGCAGAGATCATTTCTCTCATCTCATACAGAGCGACAGCGGAGATAGTTTGCAAACAGCTGTTCAAAACCAGTCCGACAGTCGAAAGTCAGCAATCGCCCCACCACCATCCCAGCGACAAACTGCAAAGCAGATCCGCGATGGGTTTGCTTTCCAATGAGGTGAACCGGGTTCAAACCCACCGATAGCTGGTCGATACGAATCCGCATCTGACTTGCCCCGACCACAGTGCTAACGTGAAATATCCTCAGTGGTAGATGGATCATGGGTTAGAGTCCCTTTGGGGTCAGGCTAACCGTGGGAGGTTCTAGTGGTCTTCCTCTCTATGTAACGCAAATGCTGGTTAGCTTCATCAAAAAGTCCTCCACCAAGGCAAATTTCTTCCAATACTTGATCCAGAGGTTCTCTTGTCTTCTGGATTGGGTTCAAAATTACAAGGCTACGGAATTGAACATTGGTAGTCGTAAACGCAAAAATTGGGTCGGCTGTTCAACGACGGTTATATATATAAAAAAACTGCAAAGCAGGCCGGGATAGCCTGGTTGGCAGGGCACTGCACCCACGTCCAAGAGACTCCTCGTTTAATAAATGGCGACTGATGCAAGTTAAATCTGTCGAGTCATATAGCCTTCCATGTTCCCTTAACAAATCCTACCTCTGGTGGTACTGATCCAGGAGTTTCCGTGTCTTCTGGATTGGGTTCAAAATTACAAGCCTACGGAATCGAACATTAATAGTCGTATGTAACTTAATTGCAAACGTAAAAAATTTAGTCGGTTGTTCAATGACGGTTATAAAATAAAATAAAACTGCAAAGTAAGAGGGTAGAGAGTTCTTCATCCAGTGGGATGAACCGGTCTCGAATCTTAGTGATGAATGATCGATACGAATTCCGCACGATTCACACCGACTGCAGAGCTGACGTAGAATATCTTCAGTGGTAGATTGGATCATGGGTTAGAGCCCTCTTGCCGTTAGACTAAAAATGGGAGATTTTCGTGGTTTTCCTCTCCATGTAGCGCAAATGCGGATTAGTTCCTTCAATAAGTCTTCCACGAAGGCAAATTTTTCCCAATACTTGATTCAGGTGTCAGTTGTGTTCGGGATTAAGTTCTAAATTGCTAGGCTACGGTGTTGAACATTGGTTGTCGTAAACCCGAAATTGGGTTGGCTGTTCAACGACTGTTCAAAAAGAACTGAAAAGTAAATTTTTTTTTGAAATAATAAAATATTTAATATCAAGACAAATTTACAAACGTAAAATAAAAATTAAAACGCACCTAAACTGAAAAGTAATTGTAAATAAATAAATAAAAAATATTATTCACTGTGATTTTCCAGTGATACTACACAGTTGATATACACTAATAGCTACATTTTCTTTTCAATAAAGCATTAAGACTAAATTTAACTTTTATTTATAAGACTTCACTCTTTTTTTTTTAAATAAAAAAATGCAATTTTTATTTAGGTGCAACGTTATGTACGGAACGCCAACTATGCTAGTAGATTTACTAAGGCGATCCAGAGAACTCCAGATGGATATAAGTACCATAAATACAAGTATAGTTTACATTGTGTTTAGTTTTTTTCTTGGGTTGTCAGTATTTTTAGTTTCTTTTAGCATTTTATTATATTTTCAAAGAATAAATATTTCTATTTTAGAAGATTAGGAATTTTTAATTATGAGAAAAGTTTTTGTTCTGAATAATGGTGAAAGAAAGAAATTTTTGCTTAGGAATTAGTATGAAAAGACCAGACTGGAAAGGCCAGACTGGCTAAGATTGCACATCATGATGGGGGTAAGGCTATCATCAACAATGCGCAAAGCTCGTGCCAATCGATATAAAGATGGGTAGTCTTCAAGCCGCCACCGGAGAGCAAACCTAGTCTCTCTCAATGACAATTCACTGTCATTTTGAAGTCACGTCACAGATCATAATGGCCCAAACTTAGCATGGATTTTCGAAGCTCTTTCGCCAAGAAAATAAAAAAACGTTACTGTTCAAGAGCCTTACAATTGAAACAAAGCTATAATTTAAAATTGCATGAACCATCTTGCTGTGAGGAATGATTGGGCTTAAGAATAATGGACAAATAATTTAAATATTTTAAAAGTAGTTAAACTTTTCGAAAAATAGCCAATTCGGCGATATTTTTCCTTCCAGGTAAAAGTTATTTAAATCAATGCCTCATTCTCATTTTACGCAAATTTTTATGAACCCTGATAATACCGCCTTGGAGAAAGTTCATGATTATTAAAAATTTAGACCACAAAAGCCTATTAGTTTTTCTCCGTATTGACGTTTTGCGCCATTTTCATTGTAAACATAGAGAGAGCTCGTTAAAGATAGGCTAAGCTTGATTTAGCAGTCATGAGCAACTGCTGCAAACTAACACCAGTTATGAAAATGGCAGATGATTCGTAAAAAAAATGCATATTTCCATGCGATGGCAGAGCCTTCTAATTTTACTTTTGGGTATTTCGATATATATCGAGAAATTTCAAACCAATTGAAAATTACACAATTATAAAATTTGTTTATCCAAAGATAATTCCATGCAAAAAAAATTTTTTGGTAAAGATATATTATTTTGTATAATAATAATCTAAAAAAAAGTTGAATTATAAAAATTAATTATTCTTTATATTATTTTATTTATTTATCAACGAAACATTTTTACCTGTAAGGTATATAATGTTTTACACCATTTTAAAGATAATAATTTCACTTGGCAAAATACAAAATTTGAACGCAATCAGTCGCATTGAAGAGAATCCTAAAAAATGGAACTTTAAGGAAGTTTTATTTTTAAAATTCAGGAAATATTCGACTGCTTTCACACAATTAATGATCTCCCTGTACATATTAAAACTATTCACCCTGAATAATATTCATGTTTTCCTACTTTAAAGTTGCTACAGGAGCGTCTCCTATTCCAGAAAGTCTAATGAAAGATTTATACTCGAGTTTTAAACAGCCAAATATTCATGTAAGTATTATGAATTCAATAGAGTAATAAAAGTGGTGATAATTGTTTACTATTGAATTTGAGCTGTTATAAAAATTATATACCTAAATGTCTAAAAATTTTTAACTTTTAAAAACTTTTATAACTCGACTAAACCAAAAACTTTTATAACTCATTTTATTTACCGCATTGTTGTTTATAATAAATATTTCCTTAAACAAATTACATCTAAATGATTTAAGTCATAATTATACAATGATTAGAAAAAATGTTTCCTAAATAATGATCACGCTATATTTTCTAGTCTGTGCCTCTACCAAATTTTTTTTTATTTTACCTGGTATTAGAAGGAAAAAATTTAAAATAAAATTGACCAGCATAATCCGTCTTAAAAATACTAATGAAGAAATATACGATAAATCAAATCAATGCAAAGTATAGACAGGACAGAGGACGAAAGTTAGTGTTTACTTCACTTTTTGTTGTTTTGTCATGTCTCGGAATTTTTTAAAACAAATCAAAAAATTTTCAACACAATTATGAAATACATTTATTTAAATTATTAATAATACTTTATCTTTTATTATAACATTTATAATATGTCATTTTTATGATAGTGGTAAAAAATATTGAATTCTAAGGTGTATAATTAATAAGGTTATAATTGCAAAATGAAAAGCTTGAAAATTGACCGATAGCTTAACTTATAGGTATTTTCCTGCAATACTTATTTATCATCCTTTCTTATTGTTTTTCATTTTGATTATAATTCTAAAATGAAGGCTTAAAACAGAAAATAACTCTTACGTAATGAGCATATCTAATAATCATAATAATGTAATAAACGTATTTAAATGGGTATTTAAACTTATTAACCCTTTTACAATTATGAAACAATTAGAATTTTACTTTCAATATACCTCTAGAATTATGTATATATATATATATATAAATAAATACAAGAAAACACGAAGAAAGTTAAGAAAGTAAGTTGATCTGATTTTGCTACTCGCTTTATAGCCCCTTTTTAATGTTTTTTCTTTTTATTTCATTTTATTTTCTGTTTTTACATGTTATTTTTACTTTTTGTGATCTATTTTATTTATTGTTATTTTTATAAAAAAAAATTTTTAGTGCTCCTCACACTATTGTATTAATATATTTTGCTTTGGCCTTATTGATACAATATCAGAAAGCACTCTGTTTTGCGGATATAATCGTGTGGGCTG